TCTCTCTCTCGTTGTATATGAAAACCAGGTCATTAGCACCACTAGCCCATCTCAAGAAGACAATTCTATCTCACGCTTCCCGTTTCACTGCCATGCAAACCTTGGTTTTTCTGTGGGATGGAGCTATAGGTGTGGACACGTAACATTTAGTCCAGCGGTTCCCAGTCTGTGGTACGGATACCACCAGTAGTATGGGTACCACCAGTGGTACACAGACAGCCTGCCAGTGGTACATGTTAACAGATTTATTATAATTACTTTATATGAGAAAAATTTGCTGGTGGTACTTAAGGTTAGGGCCATCCCTAGGGGGGCACGAATCGGGGTGACTACCCCGGGCCCTGCGCTTTGGGGGGCTCCATGGACAGTGCCGTACAGGTCCCGCCACACACTGCCAACTCCATGCTCTGGCCGCTCACACCCCCACCTCCCCGCTCCAGCCGCTTGCCGCCCCCCAGCCCCCCATGGGCTGATATGCCCTGGGCCCTACACACCGCTAGGGATGGCTCTGCTTAAGGTTGTATCATTTTAAATTGGTGGTGCACAATCTGATAGTCTGGGAACTGTTGATTTAGTCTATTTTAAACCTGAAACAGAGACATACAAGCCCTGATAAACTTGTTTAAAGCCACCTGGAATGGCTCAAAAGTGTACCTGAAAAATCAAGTACTCCTGTGAAGCAACACAATGTGAACCGGGTATATTATGTGTGGACAAGCAATCTGTGACATGGGTTTGATCGGTCCTCCAGGCAACCTACACTGCATTGCTCCTCATCCCTGCTCACCCCCTGCAACTGGCTGCTCTGGTCTGCAGCCAGAACCTTACTGCCCCCTTTTCCCACTTTTGTTGGCACTTTTTCTCAATGAGCTCCCTTGCACTGCATGGTCAATAAAAGCTTTCTTTCTGCCAACCACCTATGTTCTCATTCCCTGCTTGACTGTGGTCTCCTATGATGGCCCAGACCCTGGGAAGCCCAAAGTGTGGATGCAAACATTTCTCCTCCCTCCCCTGCACTCCTCTGGCCACCCAAGTCAGGCAAGCACACTGCAGAATTTGGTCGAATGCAGGCTAGTGAACTGTACTGAACTCATGTTTAAGAGAGAAGGGAAAGTAGAAAAGTGAAAATGTGCCAGCCCTTGGCCTCTTTCCTCATGTCCCTCAAGTCTCTGGGATTGGAAGAAATCACTTGGTTTCCCACACAAGCACACCGGCGATTCCTGAAGCCTGGGTGCTTGGTAGCTGGGGCAGCCTGGCTGACACCCACCCCGTGATGGGAATGGAGGATCCTCATAAAGCACCCCCTAATCCCAGAGCATGCAAGCCCTCACCCAACCCCAAGTCAGGCAAGCACACTGCAGACTTCAGTCAGCTGCACATTACTGCACTCACTTTTAGGAAGGAAAGGAAAGCCAAAAAGTGAAAGCATCCCCAGGCACTCACCTTTTTGGGACCCCCAAAGCATGGGAGCAAACCCTCCCAACTCCCCCATGTCCAGGCCTGCTGGGCTGTGTGCTCTCTCCTGCCCACTACTGTCAGAGCCTTCACTGTCTAAAAGGTGACTGCTTGATCTGCAAGTCTGGACCACTATACGTGTGGGATCGCTGAGCTGCAGCTGCTGTCAACCAATTCCCAATCAGTGACATTTGGGAAGTGTTATTGCTACCGGTGTCTGCACCCTAAAATTATTGTCCTACAGGCAAGGTAACAACTGACTTTCTACCAGAAGGCCCGTTCTGAGCCCTCTACAACCCTTGCTCCCCTCCTCCCACCCCGCAGATACACATATCAAATCAACTTCAAAACTGGGAAAAAGGGAGAGACTCTTCTGTAAACTTTGGGTATCTGATTAATCTCACTAGGAGACTGAGATGAGTTTCAGGGCAAAAGAAACTCAAGAGCATTTATCCACCCACTTCATGGGGTCTAGATAAAACAGAAGCCAGCTCTGAAACACTTTCCCTCTGTCCAGCTCTGGCAGAAGGTGATAAAATGCTTTGTTCCCCTTTTAACACCTCAGCAAACCAGTCAGGGGAACTGTTTTTTTCCCCATTTCCTGACCCGAGCAGCTTTCTGCTAATTCCCCACATCCCCAGTTCA